CGGCAGCGGCAGCGGCAGCGGCAGCGGCAGCGGCAGCGGCAGCGGCAGCGGCGGCCGCGTTGGGTCTAGAGTCGGAGGAGGTCGACTTCCCTCCTCGGAGGCTCCTCGGGCCCGCTTCGGACAGCACGGCGCAGCCGACGTTCGCGGCTGCGCGGACAGGCGGCGAAGGCGACAACGACGACGACGGGTGGCAAGAGGTGCACCCGCTAGTGGCCAGAAGGGGGCTCGACTTCCTCTGGTACCTGTGCAAGAATAGCTTCCGTGTGACGTACGACGTGCTTACCGTGGGGCCGGCCGGGGGAGGAGGGGACGCCGTGGCCAAGGGAAAGGGGCGGAGGGAGGGGGGGTCGGCGAAGGGCAAGGGCAAGCTGATCGAGGCCATGGACGTGGCGGGAGGTGTGTGCTGCTGTTTTTTCTGTTTTTTCTGTTTTTTTGTTGTTTTTTTACCACTATTAATGCCCCGTGGGAACGTGCTTCTGGGCGTGCATTCCATCGCCCGCTGCTGTGTGAATTATTTGTGCTCCATTTCATTGATCTGTGTACCGTCGGGGTCAAACACACACACCAACCACAGGGGGAGTCTGTTGTGTGCCTGTCATTCGTGTGTGTGCCCTCTCTCTCTGTATCTTTTTCGGTGGACGGAAACAACGCAGCAGCGTATGTCCACCAGTCGCTGATTGGAAGTCACCCCGAAAACCCCTAGTACTATGTAGATTGGTATCCACACGGCCAAACCTCTTCCCACCCCTCTGCTGACATCGGTGGCATTCGTAGCGAACGCTTCCAGATTAAGGAACCCAGACGATATCGGCGCCGCTGATCGAGTCACCACAATAAACTTCCCTCCAGAGCGGGGTGATGCGATACGAAAATAAAAGCAGGCAGCAGGACCTACCCACGGCTGTCTGCCAGCTGCATCGTGACGTTCCCCAAGTTGAGCAGCTTACGCAGCTGACGCGTTCTTGACTCGAACAGCCCAGCGAACCTCACCGAACCAAAAAAGAAAAATTAACAAATCTGTATACAGTCTTATAACCGCACGGCCGAACCCCTTTTCACCCACCTCACAGCTGCCAAACCTTCGAACTAAAAACCCAGACGGTTCTGCTCGAAAGTCACCCCGAAAAAACTCTGGTACGCATACTGGTGTATATTGTAGCCTCACGGCCAACCCTCTTCTCACTCCGCATCCGCCGAACCTTCCGACGAAAATATCTCCAGACGATTCCGGTGCCGGAGCGGCCAGCGGCGCCGCCGCCGCCGCCGTTCGCCCGGATGGCGTTCTGCTGGAGCAGCTCATGGACCTGCTCGACCGGCCCCTGTACACCATGAGCGGCCCCGATCTCGACGAGCTCCTGCAGCTCATCGAGGTGCTCGTGGCCCCGCTCGCCAACCTCAAGGAGACGCCGCGGCCGGCTGTAGAAGAAGCCGCAGGGGGTGCAGCAGCAGCAGCAGCAGCAGCAGCAGCAGCAGCAGCAGCAGCAGCAGCCGCCGGCGGTACCGGTGAATCAGGGTCCCCCGCAGTCGAGGAGGAGTCGAAGATGGAGGTGGATTCCCCTCCGCCACCTGCGGCGGCGGCTACGGCGGCGCCTGCGGCGGCGGCGGCGGGACGCCCGGCGGGAGCGGGAGCGGCGACGGCCACTTGGGAGAAGTACGAGTGGGTGAAGGTGCCGGCCCCCGTGGTGCAGCACGAGAGGCTGCGGCTGCTGTGCTCGGTGCTACGGCTGGAGGCCTGCAGCGACAATTCCTTCCAGGTGGGTAGAGGGGGTGTGGTGTGTTGCATGGTGGGCCTTGAGTAGCCCCTCCCCGGCTACCCCTCGAACCCACGTCCGTCACGACTGTCACCGTGCTGCGCCTGTGTTCCGGGGGTTACTCCCGTCTTACATCCACACGCCTCTTAAGCGCGGACCCCCCGCGCCTCCGCGCGACCCTTGTGATGTTTCTCTGTCCAGGAAGGGCTGCATGGTCGTGTGCTCAAATGGTTCCTTGTAGGCAAAAGTAGCCAAAAGCGCGTCATGTCAGCGCAACACCCACAGACAAGAGGAGTGGGTAGTAATATATCTGAGCCCCCCCCCTTCCCCCCCCCCCCCCCCCCCCCCCCCCCC